CGGTCATTTGACATGTGGAACACTGTCCAGGCCTGAGGCTAGCCTCAGAGGGTATGGTCACGAACCAGGGGACAGTTGGTCCACCCCCCCCTCCAGTGGGCTGACCATCCAGTGACAGAGGGTCTAACCCAGGGAAACCGAGGCTGCCTACGATTTAGACAGTTCCTGCCCAAACCACCGGTGTCCTGCTCTTTTCATACCAGCTCTTCAGCAGGGGATCATGAAGATGTGCTTTCTGAAAGGGGGCAGCGTGCCCTGAGCTAACGATTACCCACAGCACGCCCACCCACCCCGTGCCGGTCCTGAGCTTTGTCGGCAGTGGACTGAGGACCAGAGGGTCTGCTTCCTAGCCTTGTCTCTGCCCAGAGAGTCCTTCGTGACTTCAGGCAAGGGGCAAGCCTCTAAGATCCTTTAAAGTGGGGTAACTGCCTTCTTCCTGCTCTTATGGGCACATGAGTAGGGCGCTTTACGTGGTCAGCAAGCAAGAAACACAGATATGCTTTGTGATCCCCGCCCCCCCCCCCGAGGCACTGCAGTTTTGGGCTTTCCTACATTTGAAAAGGTATCTAAAAACTAGTGTCCAGTGGTGTATAAACACCATTTCTGGATGTGGAGTTTGCTTTTTCAAAAGTTTCTACTGTACGGTCCAAAACTCCGTGTCCAGTGAGCACCTACTATGTGCACCCAACGTGCCAAATGTGGGGGGGATTAGACAGTATGAGTGGTACTGTTCATCCAGCATTTCCTATGTGTATCAGCTCATTTAATCCTTCACCATAAACCCTGTACCTTCACTAATAGGATTTGAGAGACCACTAAGGTAAAGAAACCAAAGTCACAGAACAGTTTAGTCAAGCTAGGATTCCAACTGGCACAGTTCCTATTACTGCTCAGGTTTTGACCTCCGAGCCCTCTGTAGGAACTGTGACCCGCCAGATAGCACATTCTCCAGTCTTCCCTCCAATGTGGCCTCAGCTAGAGTGCAGGGCTCTCAAGCTGGTAGGGCTGCCCTAAGTGACTTTCTCGTTCTCCAAATCCCACACAAACCCATTTGCAGAAAGATCACATTAACTTCGACATTTTAACGGGATTTGGCAATAGATTATGGAAAAGTGGGGGTTTTGGCATCCCTAGGTCATTATATCCCGCGGGAACAGGGTCCTAAGAGCAGTACCTAATGAGCTGCAGAGGGACAAACACTGCCGAGGGGAAGCTACGGGCCGTGGCAGTCCACAAACCACAAAACGGAGCTACAGCCAATGCAATTTAAACACCTAACAGTGATAAAGAACGTATTTTCTCTTGCCCAGAAAGCCATTCCTAGCTGCTTCTAAGCTCATCTCCACCATCGATACAGTATGAACTACATGACTTTGAACTGGATCATCTACCACTGCGTATTGGTTAGTTTCAAAGGCCTTAGTCTAAAAATCAGGTCTCTAAGCAGACCAGACAGTAACTTATTCTATAGGCATTTTGTAAGGCTATTTTAAGCTAACAGATGCTCAGTAAATCCTTACCGGATCAGGAAAGTTAGAGTGTTTACTAGATACTGCTTCACTCAAAAATTGGATTTTCTGGACATCCCCTACACAATGTATTCATCTTAAAAAAGCCTTTAACAGGTTTTACTGATAGACCCAATAAATGAAAGGTAAACATGAACCTCTTGTTCAAAACTACATGGTCGGGGGGTGGGGGGGTAAACTTGTGGGGAAAAACAGCCACAAGAGGCTAGCACCCTGATAAATTTATATGCTTAGTTTGGCTATAAGAGTCTTAGATAAATCACACCCCAACGGTGAAATCTTTAATAAAGGAGTACACCCTGCATCAGATTATAACACTGAGCAGTACGTACTCTAAGCTTGGTAGGCTGTCACTGGCATTCACTCAAGTTTAACTTTGGGCACTTGGCCCAATGCACACTGGGGTAGATGGTCTCGAGACAGCCCTGTGATTAAGAAATCCTTCAAGGAAGGAAAGCTATACACATATGAACCAATATTGTATATGACAGGAGAATAGGAATTATTTAAGGACAGATCTCCAGGATGGTGGTTAACTGAAAAACCACTGGTCATGGTGAGTGTTGTTTTCCATCAAACGGTCTTGAATTTACTGCCATCTGAATTTATAGTCTTCCTTAGACCCCAGGATCTTGAAAGTTCTACCTCCTCTGTAGGCACCTCTGGGATGATGAAAGGGCCTGGGCCCAGACTTTGAAGTCAGACAAACCTGGGTTTGAATCTTGGCTCCCACGTGTATTAACTTTGTGACCCTGACCAAGTTTACTTAAGCCTGGAGTTTCGGTTCTTCCCCTGTAAAACTGAAATACAAAAGAGTGGCTTTGAGGATTAGAGATAATGTATGTAAAGTGCACAGAATGGTGCTGAGTACAAAGCCCTCAGGCTGTCATTTCATATACAGAAGGCAAACGTGGAAAGGTGCTTGGGTGAAACCCTGGGAAACAAGTGTACAAAGGTGGGGGGGGGCGGTCCAGAACAAAGATTCTGAACCCAGCTTTCCTTCTCCGTACCATTTAGGTCTCTATAGCTTTTAGGAATAACAGATCAGATTAACACTACCATGAACATGGTGGGAGTTTTTTTTTTTAAAGTCCCATAAAAAAATTTAAGTTCAGAAGGACTTCTGTAGTTCTCTCTTGTGCTAAAAACTGTTCAAAGGACGAGGGGTAAAATCGGGGCCATCTGTCAGTATTCCCCAAGCAGCTCAGCTACTGTACTTAAGCTTAATTAAGGATCATCCAAGAGTTGGAGTCTGGTCTCCTGGTTTTTAGTTTTTGTTTGATGCGGTAGGAGTAACTACTCGTGCACCTGTAGAAGCCTCTGTGCCTCTTGAACTTAAATGGGTTTGCACAATGACCAGATTGAGGACCGTGGTTTCTATGTAAGTGCTTAGCCTTTATGCACGTTGCATTAACACACAGGCTCTGATCTGGGAGGTTTGGGATGGGCCTGAGACACTAACAAGCTCCTAGAGGATACTGGTTTCCAGATCCCACCTGGAGCAAGAGCCTCTAGGAGCCGAGACAATAAATCCACAAACCAAGCACAAGTCCCCCCATTCTTGGGGTTCAAAAGCAAACAGGGGCTCAGTAACTGCCAATCAACTGTCTTCAGGAATTTACAGAGTTACAGGAACAGTATAACCGTATACACAGAACTCTGGATTATCCATAAAACAAAGTAACAAAACCAGAAAATATTCACAGGGACCACTACTCATTTTCCCCAGCTGAAAACCCCCTCTCCCATTCCCAAAAACAAAGTTCCTTATTTTTCTGTGATGTAAAATAGCCTTGTTAGTTCTCATAAGCTGTTCTTTTGGATAGCCATTAATGAGAACACTTAAAGACATTGATAGTGTCTCTTGGGGAGTCTTAGTGTAAAAAAAAAAAAAAAAATTAAACCAGGGAAGAGGAGTAACAGTATTAACAGTCAACTTAGAACACTAATCAGGCACCAGTGGTTTCTGAAAATTGGACATGCATTCTGCAAGTACCACTGATTTATGTGCAGTCTGACCTTCAGGGACTGAACAAATGAGTAAACCATCTCAGGGACACTTTCCCTGTTAGAGGCTTTGTACTAGAGTGCTAGGAAAACAACACGTCCTAACACTGTGGTCATGTGGATGACACATGGGGCTAGCGCCAGGCAAGCAATCCTGGTGCTAATACCCTCGGGTCATCCCACCAGCTGGATAACCTTGCTTACCCAGTTAACCTCTTCAAGTCTTTACCTGTAAACTGAACATACTCCTACCCCCCATCTCCCCCACCCAGGCCTCAGCACATTTGATCGGTGTTGACCACCCATGTCCTGGATAAGACAATGCTTCCCAAGCCCAGGGAGTATTGCCTCACTTAAAGGATAGGGGTCATTCCACTGCCGACAAGATTTTAAAGCACCGTATGCAACGTAACTGATTACTGGTTTGCGTACCACAAACTCACCAGCCCTGAAACCACTTCTATCTGGAACTTTGAGCATGTGAACTAAGATCTCAGCGGCTCCAAAAGCATGGTGATTGATTCATCTGTTACATTATGAAGAATAAAGCTTTTCTCCAAATTCACTTCTGGGGACTGCTGCATTACCTTGTACTACCCAATATTTATCCTGGCACCCCAGAGTGTAGGATTGGCTGAAACAGTCTGGCGGGAGTGTGATTCCCAGTACCTTGCACCATACCTTTAAAAAGCAATTCGTGTTTATGGATCTATGCCCCCCAAAGCAGTGGACCAAAAGCCAAGAACTCAACGGTGAAAACAAATCAACCCTCACCTCCAAAAGGCTGCAAGCAGGGAACAGTAATTTGAGAATGAGAACCACCTGGGAAACATTTTCCAATCTACATAGATTCCCTAGCCCTAGTCAGGGGTAATTTTAACAAGCACCCAGGTGATCTGTGGACTGCACTTTCAGGAAGTACTCTCCTTATGGCTCAACAAGCTCAACATTTCCCCCCCCACACACACACACACCCCAACACACCCACGTCCACAGCCCGCAAACCTCCTCCATCCTTTTGCCCCCAGAGGCCGTTAGAGTGTTACACTCCGTCCCGGGAGAAGGTCAAAGGACAGTCAAGGACTAAGTATTTACTGGTCAACTGTGTTTCTGAAACAAAACGCAAACGCGGCCATCCGTCTTTGCCACGGCGCAGTTTGCACCCACAATCCAATCCACTTAGAAGCTTTCAGCCTCTTCCTCTCCACCACGCGAAGTATCCCAGGAAGCGGTAAACGCCTCAGGGTCCTAGGGTGCAAAGTCTAGGTGCACACCTCATTGCCCATCATTGCTCTGGCCCAAAAACCACATCAAGAGGTTTGCACTAAAGGACTCCCCCAAGCACATCCCGGCGCAACCGTGGTCCCCAGTCACCAAGCGCGTCTCCAAACCCCTCCTCTGCGCAGCCGCCTTCCCAACTAGCCCCGGGGCTCGGCGGCGGACTCGGCAGAGCCCGGAGACTCACCTGAAACACGTGGTGAGCTCCCCCGTAGGCTTCAGACACGGGTATTTCGTCGTGGCGATCTTGTTTTCTGAGCAGATCTCTCTAGGAAGACAGAGCAGCCCCTTCGCTGACCGTCCGCGGAGAGCGAAGGGCAGGGCGCGCGAGGGTGGCAGGGCGCTGCGTCCCGGCGCGCCGAGCAGGCGCTGGTCCCCGAGCGCGGACGCCGAGCGGCCTCGGGGCCTGGGCTGGGGTCCGCCGGCGCGAACCCAGCCCCGGAGGAGCCGTACCAGGGAGCCCCAGACCCACTGACGGGGAGCCCGGGCAGGGCGCGGAGTTTAATGCCGCCCAGGGTAGTTGAGCCCCCAGCCCGTGCCAGCGGAGCCGGGGCGTTGGGGGGCGTGCGGGCGCCTGCAGGGGCCGGGATACTGCCCCCACCCCACGAACCGGGCGCGCAGCCAGCCGGGGCTGGCAGCGCTTACCTGTCGCCGTCCTCGGGCTCCTCTCGGTAGCTCCACGTGTGTCCCAGCGCCAGGAGCAGCAGCAGCGGACCCAGGCTCCTGCCCAGCTGCCTCCTCGCAGCTCCTCCCCGACTCGGAGGCGGCGGCACCATCAGGGAAGCTCCCGGCTTCTTCCCGGCGCTGGAGCTCTTTCCCCGCCTGTGCTCGGCTTCTCGGCGGCCGCTGCCTTCCCTCTCCCCGGCAGGGGGCGCCGGAGGGCAGGGGCGTCTGCGCCACCTGCGCGAGGCACGGGACTGGGGGTGTCCTGGAGCGAGGGGTCAGGCTAGGAGTCGGGGTGTGGGTGCAGAGGCGGCGGAGGAACAGGGAGATGGGTCGCCTGCGGTGCTCGGCCGGCGCGGGGGCCGCGGGGGCTCAGCCGTCTCGCCCAGGATGTCCACTTGGGATCCACGGACTCGCCAGGCTCGGCTTTGGGCAGCGCCCTCCCTTCTCACCTCTTCCTGGGCTGGGAGGGACGGGCAGGGCGCGCGAGCCGACGGCTGTGCGCATCTTGCCCCAGGCCAGCTCGACCGGGAGGAGGAGCCGGCTCGCACCCGGGGGAGAAGGGGGGGGGGGAGCCTAAGGGTTAATAAGCTTTCTTCCTGGCGTCAGGTCACTTCTGAAGGCCAGGGCAGGCCTCTGGTCGCCTTTCGCCCTCCAGTGCCTACGCCCTGCTTTCCCGCCACCCCGGGCTCCTCTCGGCAGGATTCGGGAAGGAGTTGTCGGAAGGACAGGCGCTTCTCCCCAGCTGCTTTTCACGCCCGGGACAGTACAGCTTACAGGGCGTAGCAGCCTGGCTTCCTTAAGATCTTAAAAGAAAGTTCCCCGGTTGTTTCAATTGTTCGTAAAGCCGCTATTTTCTTCCCAATTGGAGCTGAGGTCAAGTGAGCTGCGCGCTTTTCTTTCCTTTTTCTTCCCCCGGGGAGGGGGGGGGGTCTTATATGCTCTTGCCATGAGCGGCTTTCACGAGGTTTCCACGCCACGTGAGCCACCACACGTGAGCGCTGGAAACTCCTCCAAGACCAGGTGAGACCGAGGGGCCCTTAATCGCCGGCCCTGCCAGCCGCTAGTTAACCCCAGCGTGAGCACGCCAAGCCCGCAAACCCCGGGCGGGGGCGGTAAATCCGCTCATTTGGTGATGACCCCACTGTCGTTCGTTATTCCTCTGCATCTGGACGCTTGGTTGCACATCAGGAGTTTCCGTGCCTGGTGACATAGACGTGCCCAACGGAGCCAGGCAAGTGGTCGTGGCCCAGAAAGAAATTGGAACAGCACAAGGTTGTAATGCCGAACCAACACGTGGTTCTGCAGAGGCCAGGACCGGGCGAAAGGTAGCTTGTCTTGTTCACAAGTTACCGGTGTTAAGCAGGTGCTTGGGTTCAGAATATTCTGGTCAACTGAGAATTACCGTGCATATCACATACACCTTGACATTTTTAAGAGCAATGGTAGCCTCCTCCCTCTGTAGAATGCTTTTCTATTTTCCAAAGGTTTTTCACATTCATGATTTTATTTGATACACTATGCCTTGAAACTAGGAATCCGATTTCTTAGTTCAGTAAGGTGGGGTTTTTTCCCCTACAAATCTTACACAGACTTAGCAGACCATAAAACGGACTTGATATTAAAATATAGTGCTACACACAAAGAAAGTTTTCACGTGGTAATTCAGAAGACCCTTCAGAAGCTTGCAACACCTGAGAATGAGGATCATGGGGTCAGAAAAAAAAAAAAAAACGATCCGGATTCAAATCCAGGCTGTGTGACTTATTAGCTATGTGACTTTGGGAAAGTTGCTTAACCTTTCTGAAATTTATTTTTCTCATCTGCAAAATGGGGAACCTCCCTCATAAATGTTTATGAGTATTAAATGAGGTAGTGCATATAAAGTTTTTTTTACAGTGCTCGCCATGTATTGAGTGCTCAGTAGACATTAACTATTATTTTTAATGTAATGCACAGAATTTTCAGTTTTAACTTTCTAGCTTTCTGCTTCCTAGATAAATACAAGTTTATTTCACAATAGTTGTTTGGGCTTCTAAAGAGATACCTCTCTAAGCGCATTGAAAAATAAAGGCATCCTGGAACTTATAAAAATTGTATCACTTTAGATTGTACCACAAACCTGTTTAGTCTCCATCTTGCAGGGAAGACGCTATCCTGTAGGAGGGTCTGTTTTTATTATCAATTACTTTGATATCTTGCTATCTTTTTTCTCATTTTTACTTGTTTTGTTTTTCTACTGTTGCATGGTGGACGTTAGTTCTACAAGTAATAGAATGGTGAAGATTAGTTATCACTTTCATTAAATAGTCAATAAGCCACATATGGAGACACGAAGCTTGGCAGAGAAAGTAATTCAGGCTGCAAAATGGTAAAAGCAAAACCGTGCCCATTATGCACAGGGGACATAATTGGGGACAAAGCCAACTTTGCTGCCACCTTATTTTCAGCCCAGTACACTGAGCACACATGACAAAGAGGCGTCAGAGAAGATGCTGGGGCCATGCAATCAGCCCAGGTTTGCCTGGGGAGGAAATCCTAAGAGTGGGTGATCAGAGCATTTCTGGAAGAGGTGAGCTGGAGCAGAGACCTGGAGAAAACCTTTGCCCTGAGGCCTGGAATTTAAACTCCTTGGCAACTACTGACAGCAGGACACTTAGTGTCACGCTTGGGGTGGGGGCTGGGCTGGAGACCGCAACCAAGCAGAAGGAGATGTGATGGCCTTGTATGGATACCAGTTCCCCGAACAGTTAAACACTCATGCAAAAGACAAAACCTGCATTTGCTCAGGCTGCAGCCTGTATGGGAGATGTCACAAGGAGGCCAAGTGTGGTAGGGACCTCCGGGGTCATAGGTTTTCTTTCCTGGCACCCTCACTCTCTCCCCCACCAGGCATGAGCTCCCCACTCCCCAGCTTGCCCCCACCGATCTGCCCCATTCCCTCATTTATAAAACAGTGGATTAGAGGCCTCACCCACTGCCTCTTTCATAAGAGTGTGGCAAAGATTAATGATATGGACCCAGTGCTCCTCAGGGGAGGCTCTGTATGATTATTTCTTTTCAGCATACCACTCTCTGTGATGTTTTCCATACAGACCTGTCAGCTTCCCTGAAACAAACCAGAGAGTGGATTGTTACACAATTTACCATATCCTCAGGACATGGGGCTGTGCTGGGCCTTAATGTGCACACTCAGCTCTAGGTTAGACTCCCTGGTGGACCGGATACTGAGTGTAGGGGGCAGTGCGGAGGGAGACTGGCTGACCTGAGAATCTAGAGGTCAGCATACAAAAGCAAAGTGAAAGGAAAAAAGAAAAGTAAGACTAGACCATAGGGCAGAGAATACCCTCTGAATGAGAACCGTAGCCTCTTCCACTCATTTTTAAGGGACTCTGATAACTTATTTGGACAAATTCAACATAGTATTAGAAAAAAGAGATCCATAAAAAAGATAAATTACTATAAGAAACAGAACACCACCAGTTGAGGGCACAATTCATTTCATTTCATTGTTTGTTCAAATTTTTCCTTTTCATAAAAAAGAATTTGTGATGGCAGACAAATCATACTATTTTACAGTTTGTCCATTTATCTATATTATATGCCTTATGTATAGTATATATTCTATATAGAATAGAGCAAGATTAGATAAAGCAATTCAGGCAAAGGAAAGTCAGGATAAATAATAAAATGAAACTGAAGTGAAATTAGTTGGCACGATCATTATACAGAAAGTCCTATGCTATGTTTAAACACATCACAAATCAGTTCTCAGACTCTCAGACATCAATTCAAGATAATTCCATGATCAGTTACCAAATCAAGGTAGCTGTAAAGGAAAAGCCTATAAATTGTTAAAAAAAAAATCACAGATTTTTCCTGTTGGTCTCCCTGAAATATAGCAACAGTCATCTGTCAAGTAAAGGTCTTTTCATAGAAACAAGACTCAACAAGTGTGGGTAGAGTTCCTACTGAATTTGAGTGATATCCGTACAATATAATATCCCTAAAATAAACAGGTTGCCCTGATAACTTTCCTTCAGTTTCAGTTTTCCTTGCCATACAGCCAGGTTAGCTTAGAGAAACAGGGTTACACCTTGAAAAGGGCTCGAATGTGCCTGTCTCCAAACCATTGTGAGGAAATGCTCCAGGCAAGAAGATTCAAACATGTTAACACAGTAAAAGGATTTTAAATTTCTAGTTTTGGGGTGTGTACGCTGCCTTGGCACTTAGTCTGCCTTTGTTTTAACTTGCACAAATTCTGAACATATATTGAAGCTTTGGGTCTCTGGAATTTTCACCCAGGATAGGAAGAAACATCTATATCCATGACAGAATCCCAATTTTTGCCAAACTTTGAAATAAAAGCAATTTTAAAAGATTAGTTAGCCTATGTGTGTATAGGCTGCTAAAAGAAAAATGTACACACAATAAAAAGAGAGAACTTGGTTGAAGATCTCAAAAAAAAAATCAAGAAAAAGTATTAATGTGACTTGGATGTTGTATTCTTGAAAGTACACACACACACACACACACACACACACACACACACACACACACACTCTGAATCCCTGCCTGGGGTTTCTCCCAAAGGAGGAGATTGTGGAAACAATGGGAGTTGGCAGTCTCCTTGACCTTCAGAGCTGCAGGATCAAACCCCAAGGTTCTAGGTTAAGTGTGTTCTAACACCACTCAACTTTACAGCTCCTCCTGGGACAAATGGAAACCGCAGGACATGCAGCTGGGATGGCCCCATCTCTTGGGTCCCCATAAGCATAAGCAAGGAAGGATAAGGGGCCAACACTAGAGGTAGGACCACTGGCTCCCACTCTGTGATTGCTGGTCGAGAAAATGGCATCATTAGAATTATCCCAGGATTTATGAGCTAACTCCTCTGGGTGTCAACCATGCCAACACACAAACTTCTGTGCTTTATTTTTGTAGAGCTAGCTCTATTTATATCCCTTTCCTCCATGCGGGTAAGAGTTCTTACTTAACATTTATGGAGAACTAGGAGATACTGAGCTCAGTAATATGGTATCAAGCCAATTTGACAGGTAATAAGAATGTCGACCATAACAGTTTTCCACTCTGAGCCAAGATGCTCTTTGGGATATCTTGGTGAAATAAAATATATTACCCGTGCTGCCTGAGCCCCAGTACTTACTGTAATCTATAATTAAAATATGTTTTCCCTCTGGATAAGAGAGGGAGAATATATTTACCTCCCTCTTTAAAAAATAGATAGAAATAGCACTGGGAAATGGGAAGAAATTAGACTTAAAAATCGGATTTACCTAGGTTTGAAATCCAGCTTACAACCTAAAACCTCTGTGACCCTGATCAAATTGTGAAATCTTCTTGGGACCCAGTTTATCCATGAGTAATGTAGAAACCACAATCT